ATTGCACAGCTTTTATCATTCCTCCGTATACCAATAGAGCTTTGCATACCAATTTTAAATTTTAGTAATTTGCTCTTTTTTTAATTAATTTAATGCATGCTTCCCTTATATCTTTTAATCAATAACTCATACTATTATTGTTATTTACTTTATAGGTGGTATATTGTTTCTATCAGAGGTCTATTACTTGTTGATTTGTCCTGATGTGACAGCAATTTCACAAAAGTGAATTACAGTATATAAATATAAAAAACAGTCTTCAGTACTTTTTGTTGATCAAATTTGTAATTTTGTTAGTTCATTATGGATAGATAAAAACTGTCTGAATGCATACACTGATACTATTATTCTGTTCACGGCTGTGTACAATTTATAGACCCTGAGGTTTTTTATTTATACAATGGAACCTTTCTAAATCGAACACCAAAGTGACTGAGAATATTCAATTATTTTTATTGGTGTTCAGTTTTTGAAGGTCTCTCTTATACAGTGAATCCTGTCTAAACTGAACACAAAGGGGAGTGAGAATTATTTAGTTTACAGAGGTGTTCAGTTTATAAAGGTCTCTTATAGTGAATCCTGTCTAAACTGAACACAAAAGGGTTTGAAAATTGTTTAGTTTACAGAGGTGTTCAGTTTATAGAGGTCTCTCTTATAGTGAATCCTGTCTAAACTGAACACAAAGGGGTTTGAAAATTGTTTAGTTTACAGAGGTGTTCAGTTTATAAAGGTCTCTTATACAGTGAATCCTGTCTAAACTGAACACAAAGGGGAGTAAGAATTATTTAGTTTACAGAGGTGTTCTGTTTATAGTGGTCTCTTATAGTGAATCCTGTCTAAACTGAACACAAAAGGGTTTGAAAATTGTTTAGTTTACAGTGGTCAGTTTATAGAGGTCTCTTATAGTGAATCCTGTCTAAACTGAACACAAAAGGGTTTGAAAATTGTTTAGTTTATAGAGGTGTTCTGTTTATAAAGGTCTCTTATACAGTGAATCCTGTCTAAACTGAACACAAAGGGGAGTAGAATTATTT